TTTTGCCTTCAATCTTTCCCAGCATCAGGGTCTTCTCCAAAGAGATCTCTCTTCGCACATAGTGGCACAGACGCAGCTAAAATTCTCAGTCTAAAAATCTGCTCTATATTAGCCTTTTTTTGAGTAGCCCATGCATATGGAGCAGTGAGATTAAACTAATAATTTATGCTCGATCTGGGTATTTTAGATAATTCACAGCTTTTATATAACATAAGTGACCTGTGACATTTTTTCCAGAGGAACTGAACCCAGCTAACTCCTGAATCTCCCATTGTTTGACAGTGCAGAAGATAATAATAATATATTCTAAGACATGGTTTGGCTATCTGAGTACCTTTTATTATAACTACATTTCCTTTTCTTCAACACTACAATTGCCAGCTTGCCTGCTGTATGTGACTCTTCTAATCTGAGGTGCCAGAGATGGTATATGGGAATCATTTATGTATATGGAACATGTTCTTACCAGCCTCTTCCCAACATCAGGAATCATTTGATTTTTGTTTGAATCTAAGTATCTGTTTCTTGTTTTCAATAGGGACAATTTTAATTGTAAATGCTCCTCTCCACATGTGAACTATCAAGTATTAATAAAAAGTAGGCTGATTAATTAATGAACTGGACGAAGGTATTTCTCACTATGAACATATCTTAATAGAGGGCTCAACACAAAGGTGATGGAAAGCAGATGTTGTGAGTGTTCTCAGCTGTTATTTTATGCTATGATATTTACAATTTTGGTTACCGTTATTGTTTTTAACTGTCACCCACCCAGGGACATGTATATGAGATAGGCGGCTATATAAATTTATTAAATAAATGACAACTCAGTAATGCTTCATATAAAGCAGAGAGTTGATAAATCCACAAGTCTCTGTATATTTATGAATGTAATTCAATTTCTTGATGGGGACAATTAAAAATAAATTCCAGAAGACTGTGTGAAGTTGCAAAGTGGCCAGGGTACTTTTCTACTGTACTTCTCTTGGCTGTTACTGAATAACTGATTCATGGAGGAAACTAGTTACTTAGAATGTTCCAAGTTCGAAAGAGTTGTTTGTCCAGCTTTGAATAATGATATCTCATCTAAAGCAAGACTTTTGTTAATGTTTGTAGATATACTGCTGTTCTATAATGGAATAAGAACAAGAATAATGTTCAATTCATTTCTTTCTGCTGAAGTAACCCTCAACCAAGATTCTGGATATTGTGCTTTGACTTTCTTGAAAAATAATAAGGCCAAGTCCAAAGTGGTAGTATTTGGCAAGAGACATGTGAAACGTAACTGGCATCTGGGTGGGGAGCCTACAGAACAAATTAAATCCTTTTCACACATAAGTGTGATATTCACCAATATGGGATTGTGGGTAGGCCACTTCAAGAGTTCTGCAGCGCAGGCAACAGCTCTTAAAACTGCTCATTTGTAATCAACCTGACACATTGTTTCTAAACTTTTTAATTTATTAAATTACCCTATGGGGCAGACCTGTGGAGCCCATTAAAAACTCCCTACTCATAAAATAGAGCTGTTTAGGGAACTGATAAAACACTCCAGCCCCTGTGGTCAGAGCTAAATTAGGCATGCATTCTATATAATGCCATGCCCTAATCAAAGCCTTTAATTATTGGTGAAAGTCCCTACAAATGGATCCAAGTAGTTAGACATGTCTCTGTGCTCCACTTGGGTAAACTAGCTTTTTACAACTCTGGTGCTGCATGATCTATCACATTCTTAATCTATTTTCGGTCGGACAACTGGCCAAGGAAATCAAGTAAAGAGTCCTGCATGTCAGTGCTCTAACTTACCCAGAATTACTTATAAACACTAAATCCCTAAAGTGGCTGGCCAAGAACAAAAAGTCCATTAAAACAAGAAAATATTTAACTACTGTATAGGCCTGACTCAGGGCCAAAGAATAGCCTTTACCAGGGCAAGATTTGAACCTGCTGAGCTCCATGGTAAAATACAGGCAATTCCACAAAATACCATATCAGGAAAGAAAGTTCACAGTTATTGGTCTCAATTGTACATTAATCTTTAAAATCCTCTGATTCAGAGGATTTTAAAGATTAATGTACAATTAAGACCAGAAGTCTTCCTCTTGGGGCTGATGGACAAAGAGTTCGAAAAAAGGACTTTGTTTTTGTATATGATAACCTCAGCAAGATTACTGTATTGCATAAAGATAGAAAGATTTGGCAATACCTACAATGGAGGAATGGTTGGTGAAGATGATGG